ATATTATAAAAACCTTGGTCGTCGTGAATTGTCTTACTGATTCTCATTTCGAGACATGTGTTGGTTCATTTGGTGTAGTATTCTAAGCCGGAGGCCTGCACGTCTGCATTCAAATGCAGATTGTACAGTCATCCTCAATTGCGGTCGTTTTCATGCGTCCCCAGCGATAGATGGGTCCGCAGCAGCACGAACGCGCCTCATTTCCCAGTTGAAAGTGCACGGAAAAGATGTGTGGAGTTACGATACTTGGTGACTGCTCTATGCTCCGCTCTCGCTACTTTTTAGGGAGCAACACAGCAACAACACAGCAAGCCACATACAGCGAGCGACACCACTTAGAAATGAAACGGGTAATAGTGTGATAGGGCAGGTAATACTCAGAGTAATAACTAGGCTTCGATCACGATTAGAGGTGTGGCTGGCCACTCAGTGACGCAGGAGGAGTGAAGAGTTGCTACTGGGAATCATCGTTCATCGTGCCCATTCGGCATCCGTAGACCACGCCGTGGACTAGTTCAGCCTGCTTTTCTAGTTCAGCCTGCTTTTCAGAAATGTAAGCAACGATCCATTGTTCTTCAGGAAGGATAAACCTCTCGTGGGTAGCCATCGATTAAGAAGCCTTTGGAACCTTTAGCAACTTCTTTCAGCATCGCTTCTTTGATGAGATCAAGAACTACTTCCTAAATTAACCAGAGGATAATATGAGCGGTAACACAAAATGATGGGAAACACTTACCAGAGGAACCAGTTCCCCAGCTTCCATTATTTTGTTGAGCTTTGCTCCTCTGGGAGATCCCGATTTAACCTGAAATAGAAGAAAACTGATGATATGACGAAAATTTATTCAATTTGCGCGGCCGGTTGAAAGTTCTCCTTCAAGGCACTGCTCACTGATTAGAAAAACGATTCGCCTTCAATGAGCAGCTCGAAGGCACATTTCACGATCGCACAGCGTGAGTAGCCGAGCACAAATATTGCTTGGGGGTCTTGTAGGGAGAATGGTGAAACAATGATATCCTAGTTTACGTGGTAGACGGTGATAAGGTGCATCAAACACCCAAATATCACGGAGAGCTCCCTTTTTGAGCAGAATAAGCATTCCAACACTGCTTCAGTCGTCGCAAGAAGGTGAAGCTGCCTATCCACTGTCGATAGGCTCAAGAACATCTATACAGTATTTGCGCCAGCCCAAAGGAGCAGCGTATTTCCGACGATGGAATCAGTCGCGGACAGATTCCTGAAGACAGACGCTTTGATAGTGCAAGAGAGCAGCCGTCCAGCTGTCTGGACCATCGTGCTGTGGTCCACGATTTGTTTTCTTCGCTTGACCCCTTGATAGTCAGAGCATTGGGCTACGGTACGGTACATGTCGGTGAATTTGTAGATACCAGTACTGAAATGGGTGTCTGAAATGGGTGGCAAATATCCGGAGCGTCCAGTTTCCATCACATACGCTTTTTTTAATGGGCTCCATGAGCAGTGTGCCCTTGCCCTTCAATTGGAAGTTGAGTAGCCTTTCAATAAAGAAATGGAAGAGCCTCAAGCCCCAAAAGCCTCCCTTTCGCAGTTGATTCTGATCACACGGCAAAGAAGCTTGGAGCTAAAACAGGAGGCGAGACTGCTGTCCTCCCGGCTACTCCGGCTCTCTGTATATTCCGAATGAAGGGTGTGTGGGAACGTATGTCATAAGGCTTTGCGACTTCGCTTCTCATTTTTTGATGTAACACTTTAGAGTCGCAGAAATGGCATTTCATCTGTACTAGAAATGTGTTCAACTTATTCACAGAAGGAACCGTATTAGCTGATGGCGAAATGTGCCATGTTCATAGGGCTGCGTTCATACTTAGCGGCAGCGTCCACCAGCGACCCATAGCGTCAGTGAATAGGAAGGTACAGATATCGATCAGAGTCTGCCAGCGTTTACTAGCGTCCACCAACGACCAGCCGTCTGCTACCCTCCTCTCCGCCATACTTTCTACCATGTCTGTTACCCTCATCGCACCATACTCTCCACTCCCAGAAGCCGCTGGTCGTTGGTGGACGCTGGCAGACGCTGGCAGACGCTAGATCGATATCTACACTTTCCTAGTCGCTGACGCTGCTGGACGCTCGAACGCTGGTGGACGCTATTGACCGCTGGTGGACGCTGACGCAAAGCATGAACGCAGCCTGAGAGCAGCGAGCGTGCTTGGCCATTGAAATTTGCCTTCGAGCACATGCTCATAAGAGCGGCGAGCGTGTTTTGCTATTGAAATTAAAGCCAGTAGTCAATCAATTACAGACAATATCACTGAAGTCACTCGGGTGTGACAGCAGTGCATTGGTTTGGCGCGGCGCCAGCAGGCCAGCGACTTCGGTCTTTCAATGCGGGGTGGGAGAGGGCTGGCTCGTGCCAACACCCACGCACCTGTGACAAACTCCGACCGACTAGTTATAACGACTGTATGTAGATCCCGCATGAATGAGTCAATCAAACTTACTTCATCTCTCAGCAGATCACCGGATGAAAGATGAGATAGGCCATACTTTTCGACGATCTTTTTACACTGTGTTCCTTTCCCTGAGCCAGGACCACCTGAAAATGCGGCTCAAAGGGAGGTTCAGCTGAATTTGACTGGAACTCTCCGTCATTTCCACTGGTGAATCCTCACTATTCACTGAGTCATCAACCTAAAGTAAGTGGTCGTTCACCAATGGGGATAGCGAATAGTCACAATAGTCACTTCCAGGATTCAAGTCCAGGAATACTTCCTGGGTCTAGAATTAGGTAACTAATTCTAAGCCGCATAAGTGATCACTTCAGGCTCACCAACGATGAAGAATATGGGAACATTGGCCTTCTTCAGCGGAGTCAGGTCTATTGCTTTCCGTTCCACAGCAGCATCCAACCTATAAGAACTATTGCTACTGTGCAAATTATACACCCTAGGTGATTTACAGTATCCACTATGAACAGCGACATCGCCAATATCGGAGTTCAACAAGGGGCGTTCTGGTGATGGCTGCATACTTCCGTAGTGGCTCCCCCTCTTTTATACATATGTCTCCTTCGTCTCGAACATAGCCTCCAGCAACGCCTCTTGTTGCTCTGCGTTAAAGATTCCATACACATGGGAACTACTGATACTGTCACAATCCACTATGAACAGGCACATCGCCAATATCGGAGTTCAACAAGGAGCGTTCTGGTGATGGCTGCATACTTCCGTTGCGGGTCCCCCTCTTTTATACATATGTCTCCGAGCAAAAGCGAGCATAAAGATCAAAATTTCGCAGAGCTTTGACTTGAGACTATGCACGTACAAAGACGGCAACAACTCAGCTACCCGGTCATCTGCAGGAGGTGTAGGATAGATTACTTAAACAGTAATCAATTCAAGATTTACTCACTTTGGAATTAGCTTGTCCAAGTGCTGCTGAACTGCGGTGAATATTTCGTCGATGGTTCCATGATGATCTGGAATTACAAAGTTGCTTCAATAAAATGTAAAGTCACGGTTATAGAAATACGTTTTAAGACATAAGGCAGCGTTCAGACTTCGCGACGGCGGTTCGGTCGCGCGCTCGACATGATCTATGCAGTTGAAAGCATGCGCATCGATTGCGCCGGACACGCGATCGAGACGCTGCCGTCGCGAAGTCTGAACGATGCCCAATAACAATAGCACAAGAAAACAGAAGACAGATAAATACACCCCATATCCCGAAGATGGGAAGGGCTCGGCTGCGCACTTCATTTGGACGTAGCGGAGTTGTGCATTTCGTGCAATACTGTCGTTCTGGGATAAATGTAGGAACATATTTGTACAACAAGACACGATGACACTTGTCTCAAATGGCAATATTTCGAGAAAAAGCAAACGATGCCATGTTCCAGAAAAGAACGATTACTTTGTTCTTTTCTGGAACACGCCCTCCCCATCCCCGGGATACGGAGGGTAGCTGAAGAGTACACTCCTTATCCCTGAGCCAGAGTAGGCGTGGCATTTGAACATGGCACGGAACTGGTTACTCGTGGAATATTCCAGTCTGGGACAACTGTCATCTTGTTCTGTGTTGGACAGAGACACGACAACAATTGTGTCAAGATGAAAATATCTCACCAGAAGCATAGACACCTTAGGTTAAGTTGAAACATGCGGCCACGCCTACCCGATCTCAGGGATTGAGTATAACTGAAGACAAATGTACTGGGTGGAGAAATGCAGGAATATTGGAGCCCTTCGCAAGTTCCCTTCTAGATTCCTAAAGCGACGCTTCAGCCTAGGGTTGCGTTCATGAAATTCAAGACGGCATCACACGGGAAGCAGCCTGCCATAGCTAGTTGACTCAACCCGCCAGATGGATTGCGTTCTGCTCTTGCTTTATCCAGCACTAAAATGTAACACGGGACATAGAAAGTACCTCAGAATAATAACCACAAGTTGTCACTACTACTGAGAAAGGCATCCGAAAGCGGGCTCATTCCTCCATCCTTCCCCCCCCCCCCCGCCCCCTTTAGCCTACCCTCCTGACAGCACCCGACTGGTTGCAACTTTGGCGCGTTTACTTGGTCACTAACCCGTTAAAACATTTCAGACACACCTACTTCATACATCTAAATAGGGCAACGTGCACGAAAGCCAAGGGCAATGTATTCGCGCCAAATCGCGACAGTTTTCCGCGCCATGGGACGCGATGAGGCGGTTTGAGTCAACTAGCTAGTATAAACTGATTGGCATACAATGCTGCGTTAGAAGGTGATCGACTGCACCCTTCAGCCTGTGCCCTACGATAAACTGACCCTGCAGCCTATTCCCTACAATGACCCAAATCTATAGACACCTTCCCAGAACTAAAGCACACTCACAGAACATACTGTGACCAATACAAGTCAAGTGAGTAGGTATGGCTATATAAACCAAATTTAGCTTACCCTAATAAGTTTCTTCTTCTTTTCATAATAGTCCACAACTGGAGCGGTAGCATTGGTGAAAGTCTTAGACGCTTCTTAATAGTTTCCATATTGTCATCAGCACGACCACTACAACTTATTATATGTAGCGACTAACTAATTGTAAAAAACAAGTAAGTAATTAACCTAGTCTTAGCTCGATGAAGAAGTCGTTGTACCAGAATATCTTCAGCAACATCAAAATATATGACTGACTTCGCCTCTTGAATCTGGAAAGCCATATATGAAGGCCATCCCGTAGCAACTGCTGAAAGAAAACCTACCTCACGTTCGAAGTGCTCGCCTTGTTTCACCTCTCGAGGATAGCCATCAATAAGAAACCCTTTGGAACCTTTGGCAACTTCTTTTAGCATTGCCTCTTTGATCAGGTCCAAAACAATCTCCTGCAGAAAGTGATGAAATGACAAGAATACCGCTCAAAAAAGGTGAGCCGCTAACTCACGAGAGGAACCAATTCTCCTGCTTCCATGATTTTGTTGAGCTGTGCTCCTCTTGGTGAGCCCGATTTGACCTAAATTTTTGAATATTGACGTGAAAGGCTATGTTGGATGCTATAAGCTCTATCAAAAGGGGTACAATCAGGTATATCTCGGATTCCCACCTTGCGACACTAACGATTCTCGAATCGCGCTTCTGCAACCGACCACTCCACTGCTAATTGTTGAACCGACGTAACTGCTATTTTACTTTCAGAAAACAACTTATTTCACTGCTTAAAGACAATTCCCGCGATCAAGTGTTCGGGTAATTGGTGCCCAGTAACGAAGCAGTGGCCCATTTGTAACCCCCCAGTGGAAAAAAAAAAAAAACCTCGCGAACACCCTGAACACAGACCTCCCTTTAGCAGTGGGGGCGGGGCCTGGACGAGTGTGCCGGACGTGGCTGCCAGAAATCGATGCGGCAGCCGCAATTGCGTCCCGACTTTCGAAATAGGATACTTTAAACCAACCAACCAAGTCCTTTAATTGCGCTTTCGAATACAAGTAAAACGCAATTTCCTGATGCGGATAACATTGGAGGTGCTGCAAAATAAGAACAGAAGATGATGACGAGGGTCAGAACTTAAAAGCAACTGTGCCACTTCTGCAACATCCCTCGGAGGCCGCGTATTTCCACGAAACATGAAAATAAAACGGCATACTCGTTAGTTTGATACAAGCAAAACGCAATTTCCTGATGCGAATAAAATTTTAGGTGTACTTCAAAATCCATGTACAAGGAGATGAAGATGACACAGGCTAGAAATGAAGCACAACGATGTAAATGTAAATAAAACAAAAATGAAAAAATCAAGGAAAGGCAAATTAGTTAAATCGCCTGTAAATTTCTACGATCCGGCGCCAAAGCCATAGAAATACTTAGAATAAACGAGTGGGACGCTTGGATTGTTTTTATTCTCATGTTTTCTGGGAATGCGCGGCCTCTGATGGATTCTGCGGATGCAGCCGAGTTGCTCTTGAGTTCTGGCCCTTGTCATCATCTTCTGTTCTTATTTTGTAGCACCTCCAATGTTATCCGCATCAGGAAATTGCGTTTTACTCGTATTTGAGAGCGCAATTAAAGGACTTGGCAAAGTGCCAAGGAGCCGCACGCGACACGCGCGCTTGCAACGGATGTTATGAAGGACGGGAATCTGCGCCGCAAAAGGTGTAAGGCGGAGCATGGAGGAATTAGCGTGTTTCACGGTCCTGTATCTCCATTCCTGGGCATGTTTGGGCGGGGGGACCACGACACATCGACAGCTGGGGGGCTGATAGTCTCATACACCCTCAATGTGTTTGAGCGTACCATGTGTCTTTAAAGGGACGGAAGCAGCTCGGGACCGGACGCCTCGTCCACCTACCGTGTCAGCGAGCCTAGCGAGCCTTGTGGAAATCGCTATAACTTCCTTATCGCGCCATATTGAGGGATGAAAGTGGTATCATCTTCGTCAAGGTGTAGAGGTCGCGGGGAGTGTCTTTAAGCGGTTTATAGATAAGCAGTGTAGCGTAATCGATCACTGTCGCGCGATTTCGAAATCGCGATGTCGCTAAGTATGAAAGGAGCCGAACAGCGAAATGACTCCGTCGGAAAGTGGAACAAGAATCTATCATTATCCAAAATAATGGTCTATAGCAAAGGATCAGAAAAGAATGAGAATTCACTCCATTGTATACTAGCTGAGTCGCTGGAATTACCTCATCCCTTAGAAGATCTCCAGACGATAGGTGAGATAAGCCATACCTGGCCACGATCTTCTCGCATTGTGTTCCTTTTCCGGAGCCTGGGCCACCTAAACAAAATTATCTTGAACGCTAGCGCGAAAACTCCATTATCACAATCAACGGCACGACAGTGAGCAGGAACGTACATAAGGCGGAGAAATCAGGACTGTTCTCTCGAGAGGAGGGCGCAGACGAAACAACCTAGTAATTCACACTTACCGACAATGAAGAATATCGGCACATTTGCTTTCTTCAAAGGCCCCAAATCAATAGACTTCCTCTGGATAGGTAGCAGATCTGGCCTATAAAAGTAACTAGCAGGAGTAACAAGTAGGACTTCCGATGAAACTCTACTCTGTAGTAACGACAGGTCAATTTGGTAAAATATTACGCTGGTAATAAAGTCGGACGATTAAACCCTCGAAGCAGTCGTTAAGCACTGGAAGCAATCGTCATCTTTTGAGCCTGAAAGACGGCGTTTGCGTTATAATCTACCCGACTAGACATCAAGCTACGGTACGAGGTCTTCAAGACCGATAAGTTCATCACGCAGTGATGGGAAGATATGCGCTATGTGACTTGGGAGGGGCCATCGTGTAGCTAGGCTAAGCTAAGGTCTTGTTCTTAACGGCACAAAACAACGTCAGGCTAATTGGCTGAGAGGGTGGCATGTTTCGACGCTGACTAAGCCACAGCAGAACAGACACGCTGTCTCAGTACGAGGGTACAGGCGAGCAGTATGACATGACCCATACGTGATTAATATTCCCGGATTACTGAATACCGTAAGATAAAGTAAGGGTATTTCTAGACCCAGGCTACCACTAATTATTCGCTACGGTATCTAAAAAAAGGTGGGAATTAGTTGGCGAAATCAGCGACTTCCAGCACCATTTCCCGAGCTCTTTTCTCTCATTCTCGTCGGTGCAGACCTTGCGACGATTCCTAGGTGAATGGGCCTGCAGCTGCAGCAGCGTGTCACTTTCTCGCTCAGGAGTGCGTGGGAACGAGGCTGAGGGTAGTAATAGCCGGGTGTCGTCTCCTGAAATGCTCGCGCTATTCTCATGTGTGGCACTTCGTTGATACCAAATCCCGCAGCGAACACAGAGTACCGTAGAGAACGGCCAGAAATGAGAGCGCTTAGACAACAAGCGCGCTTGGCTACAGATAGGCATATGGCTAGTGGTGCGGCAGCGTGGGTGGAGTCGGGAGACGACACCCGGGTACCACACTTTCTAGCCCACCTCCCGGATGCTTTTGAGTGGAGAAAGTGGCAGCTGCGTGAGAGTACAGACTCTCTAATGAACTCTCGTACAGGGACAGTATAAAGGAAGGAACTAAGGGGTGAGCACTTACTTTGCCGCTGGGACATGTTTGTCCAGATGTTGACAGACTACGGTGAAGATTTCGTCGACTGTGCCATCTGCTTTGATCTAAAACAGTAGAATGCCGAGCAGTAGGGTAACAGAGAACACAAAACCAACGGACCCTGATCAGCTTCTTCTTCTTTTCATAATAGCTAACCACTGGTGCGGTAGGCGGTGGTGAAGGTTTTCAAACGCTTCTTGATAGTCTCCATATTATCATCAGCACGTCCACTGAAACTTATAATTCGTGGTAAAAAGTGGATAACTACATTATCAGAGC